GTGAAACCTTTTCGATTTGTTACTATGTTCAGATATTTCCTTCATCTACCAGATGATTTTATTTCAGGGAAATATTACATCAATTTACTTATCAGAACATTTCTTGCGAATACAACATTTCGATGGTCCGATGCTGAAACTCAAGAATACTATGGCGAATGACACATGACTAGGTACGTTTCACAAGATCTCCTTGATGCTCTGACCAAAGTACGAAAACGAGATCAAACCAACAATAAATGAGCTATTCTCCGTTCATTATGTGCTGATCATTCAGTTTCGATATCGCTAAGAGAATGTTTTAGTTGTGGGAAAGTCGCTCAGCTTTATCTTCCATTATTCTTACTCATAATGAAATAATTTATACAACTATGTTCTTTCATTATGCTGCTATTTTTATCTTTTTAATTATTTAGCTGACACTGGCTGGGATGTTTTTTCTCTTGAGTATCATGTCGACGGGCCGATCGCTACAATCTTTTCTGATGATTGCCGTCTTATGTACTTACGAGCTTTTAACTTTTTATGGCGAGCAAAACGAATGGACTTCTCTCTGTGTAGTCTTTGGAAACATGAGCTACTCGCTGCTCGCCTTAGTGGCCATGACCTCCAGGACGATTTGGCTCCTATACTTCATCTGGCCCAGCTTTTCGGGGCAGAGATTCGCCATTTTGTGCAACAACTGCAATATTACATCAACTTTGTGGTACGCTTCGTACATTGTACTATTATCTGGTTTCCAATTATTCATGATTCCTCTGTATGTTGTGTTAACTTCTTAATATGCATACTGAAAATAACAATTGAGCAACCTGTTTAAAATGACTTAGCTAGAAGCTTTCAATCCATTAGTTACAACTTGGACAATTTAACCAATTTATCTTTGTCATATAATTTATCTTGTTTTATTCTATCATTACAAGTGATCTTCAAGTCATTGAACTTTTATTCAGGAATTTTTAATAAAATTGCATTCTTTGTCTTTACGTAAATAATTTTATCCCTAATTTTCAGCTTTGTTTATTGTACTCTTTTACCAATCTGCCTGTGACTCAAAGAAAAGTTATTGTGCGAATAGAGAATAATTTATGACAGTATTTATATTACAATGCATAATCAATGACCTTTAGATTAAAAGCGACGCATTAATTTTTCTCGCAATTATTTCACACTAGCATTAATATATAGATATATGGTATGGTTTTTAAGCTTCTCTTCCATTATCTTCAATTAATTTTTGGTCTGAGTAATTTGCCTATAGATTCACTTTTTTTATTAGAAGCTGAAACTTTCTTTGTCCCCATCTGCTAGTGATTGTTTACTTGCGAAACAGAATATCATAAGATTATGATCTAGAAACGACCAACTTTCTTCCATTTATAACCGATTTATATATTTCGTCTGCTACGTCCGAAGATATTATATCCTAATTTCATCCTGTCTTTCACAATTAGTACTGTACCAGAATGTTCATTTTTGTCTTTACTATTTGATACAAACTTGATTTAAATTATTCGCTGCGGTTTCTATTCAGCTCGAGACTCGTGTTTTCGTGTTTTGGTGAATTATCATTAAGCCAAGTGCCCTGTTTTAACGATGTCTGACGAAGGCTCAGCAAGGATTGTCGGGGTCGTAGTGCGATGTGCTGAGGACCTATTTGCGCAAGTCTATATCCACAGCCTCAAAGCAATCCCCTTACTGCTTCCGGTGGGGCCAACTTATGAATCCCTTCCACTTGCTTCTTCAGACGAGATTAATGATATTCCAATACGGAGAAACATTGAATACTGATCGTCATACCGAAGAATATATGACCTCTTGGGCGATCTGGCTTAGTAACGGAGAGATCTTTGATTCTAGGATTGCCAGGCGTAGAGACTTTCTACGAGCAGGGCGTTGCTCTAAGGACTTGTATGCATAGCTTTGGGGTAATCCACAATGAGCGGTGACCTCGCCGTTTTCGTAGAGAAATTTATCTTTGCTTGGAGCTCTTCATTCTTAATAATTCGCGGCTTCTTATTGGTGTCGGTTAGTTTATTCGGCTTTGTGGTGAGGGAATCAGACTCAAAAGTTCAATAATAGGCCAACACGGATGACGGGAATACGATTGATAGGTTGTCAAAGGGCATGATTCAGAGGTGTGTTTTAAGGGAAAGATCAATTGAGGGAGTAATCAATGCACTATGATTTAAAGAGACTAATCGTTGTAGTGAGGAGTTGTGCTGGGTCATTTTATCTCTAGTCGGAATAATTTTTAAAAACTTGAATCTTATTTGTATGTCTATCTGAAATTATATCATGAATAAAAAACCGTTTAAATAGCATTGATCAAATACTCCTATCAATAATATAAGTCAGGATTTGTTAGGAGCTTTATGTAAAATTTTGCGCGACGAAAGATCTTATTTGATCTTTATCTTTAGACACTGCAGTTATCCGATTGTTGCATCCATATTTTCCTATATGATTTATTCGGATTGTTCGAAGGTCATAATGTTGATTTTCATTTTTATTTTTTCCGGATACTGTCTTCTCCATTTGTATGAATATCCTCTACGAATTTGTTGATATTTAGCAACTTCGAGAATTGAAGCCGTTAGCCTTTGGCAAGAGCTTTCATACTGTTTGTTTTATCATATTTCTGATGCTTTGCCCCCGCGGATCTACAGCAAATATTGAAGTGCTTACTAAAGTAAGCTTAATGCAAAGTGTTATATTCTTTATACGTAGATATAATGCAATTACAGCAAGTGTTACTTCCACTATTTTTCATATCAAACTAATATAAATGAAAAGTGTTACTTTCTATGAATTGAAAGTATCCTCCATTTAGCGTGAGTATTGCATTTCATGTATTTTTATACGTTTTTTTTCGTTCTGAATTAACGATATTCTCCGTTATTTTAGCAACTTATCTATACATTACAATTTTCATCTAATATTTAGGTACTTTCGGCCTATTATATAATGCATAATATTTTCCTAATCCTTTATGCCTTGGTTGTCATGCTTAAATTCACAGTTGGAGGTTCGGATTTCTTTTACTTAAATTCTTACGGTGTATGTTTCCGGCTACCTGTGCTTTGGGTTCATTATAAGTTTTGCGCGACTTTTCTTTGCCTCATTCTACTAGTGCATATATTCACCTAATCGACTTTTCTTTTTCAATGCCTAAGTTGCGGTGTCTTAAGATTTTTCAAACCTACAGGTCAGCAGGATAATTCAGGTCACTGTTGCTATTAAGCGTAGGAATACTGATTATTTCCAGTAGTTTACTAGTTTCATAGCCCTATTGAGACAGGATAAATCATTAAATGGCTGACCTGGATCGTCAGTTCTTGTTTAATTTTCTTAAATAACCAATTAGTAAGAAGTGTTTACCTGGAAATTATTTGAAAATATTCCATTCTAGTTGACTTGAGGCTTTAG